TGGTGGAACCGACCTTCGAATCTCTTCACCCAACACTTTCACTTGAAATGGAAGTAAGCTCAACAAATTCAACGTAAACTTAGGTTATACTTATCTCACTGTGGAAAAATGTAATTATCAGACTTCAATCATCTTAAACGAAAGAGATTTAAGCAACTTAGAAAATATGTCACTCCAACACTCAGTCCAAAGCAAGGGTCTCACGCAAATGTGATGGGTAATGGTGCACAACTACACATTTTTGTCATTTAAGACGCATAGACTTTGAATAATCGGTTGCATATAAAGGAAGTTTATGCTCGCTGATAGCCTGATTCGAGATTTTTCACCGAGCATTCCAGTTGACTTGCTACCAAATAAATATATATTAGAGCAAAGACTTGCCGGTTCGTAAATCTTCGGTGCAGCAAAGTCAAAGTCCTCAGCTTCATCTCCAGTCGCTTCCGGGGCATCTCTGAAGGGAAGGATAGTAAATAAGATTATGATCCCGCCAGATTTGACTGCATATGTTATAAATTCAAGAAAATATGTGTATACCTCAGATCGCATAAGGCGATGAAGAAAAATTGGGTTTCGAATAATTCCTCTCAAATATATTGTGACATGACTTTCCACTTCGAAGGAAAAGTTGGTTGGAAGGAATTCGTGATGTCGTCTCGCCCGAAACCGAAGGAGGACTGTTGCGTAGAATGCTTTGTTCGAAGTAGTTATCGGCTCACCGTCCTGCGACTTCCATCAACCTGTGCTAGGCTCTCATCCGTCCCTCCGAGACAGACATCATCAGAGCAAGAATCCATACTTTATCTAATACGCCAAAATATACCTTTTTTCCTAATTTACTAACTCTTTTCTTTTTCGTAAAGAATAGATTCTTGCTCTGATGATGTCTGTCACAATACAGACAAAAACATAGCACAGGCTTATCAGGGTCGTAGGACAGTGAGGCGAGGACCTATTCGTACAATCCAACAGTCTTCCATACGCGGAAATCCTCCTTCGGTTTACGTTTGAGACGAGATTATGAATTCTTTTCAACCAACTTTTCCTTCGAAATGGAAAGTCATGATAGTTGAATTTTCCATCAATCATATGAGTAGTTCTTACCATATCAATAAATTTCATTTATCCTCGCCTTACTAGTTTACAGGGATGAGAAAAAAATGTTGTCCCGCACGATTAAAATCACAGTGCAATTCTTTGTAATTGATGGATTCGCGTTTTGAAGACAAAAACTAAGCACGAATTCATCATAGTCGTAGGACAGCGAATCGAGGACTTCTTTTCAAAATCCAACCTTTACCACTCCAAGGCAATCCTTCCTCACGAATACCTTCTAAGAGAATTTTACTTTGAAATGAATAAACAGTAACATTAAGTCAAGCTTAAGCATGAATCTTTGGGTACTTTGGACAAATCACTTATAACATATCTTGAGAATGTATTCATGTTGAAGCACGACCAGGGTTAGAAAAAGTATATAACACAAATGCAATATAGATTAATATTAGCATAATTTACCATCGTATGAGCTTATTTGCCTACCCTCAAGGCTTTAAACAAACGAATAAAATGGAAAATAACTAAATAACTAATAAATATATTTGAAAATGAGTCACCCGGTTAATTAAACTAGCCCTAAAAGTGATTAGATTTGAAGCATAACTTTATAGAGTGTTTGGGAACCCGATATCTTTAGCCGAACGACGCCTAACAACCATCCGAACAATCTTTTCATTTCGCTAACCAATGCAGTTATTACATTTTCTCCAGAACTTACCGGAGAAAGTCGACAAAATACATTTCCTTATCCAAATAGGAGGTGTACTCTGGGCCCATCTCCTCGCGAACCGCGCGCAGCAGATTCTTTTCAAACCAAGCCATGTCTTCGCTTGAGATGAATCGGTCTGCAATTACTCGCATCATCTCGTGCCGCCACAATTGCATCATTAATTCCACCTTATTGAAGACCTGCCAGTTGAGAAAGAATAGTACATTTATTGAGACTTGGTCTTGACAGAATTAAGGTAATTTTACAGGAATGGGGAATATGCAGAAGCAAAATGGTCTAGATTCTACCATTCGACGTCAACATTTACAATCTCAAAAAGAGTGCATTATGCCGCACGAACATCGTGTAATGTGAATGGGTTAACTAAATCTACCAAT